AAATACTGCTTGGTATAATGGATTTACTAATAAAACTCACGATAAAGCAGATTTTAAAAAATCTCGCACTATGTGCCTGAGGTACTATGTTATATCGAGAGCCACTGTGTATACAGTATCTATGTTTTTGGCCTTATCTAAACCTATTATCCAATCAAAATAACTTTAAATATCACATGACAAGGGCATGCCCCTGTGCCCTAAACCCTAGTTCGGAGGAAGGATGTAGTGCATAGTGAACATCAGTGTTGGCCTATGATATAACGATAAATGACCTATACCTATATAACCTTTATGACCTGCCATAGGTCATTCAGTCATATTGAAGATTGATAGGACTTATAACCTTTTTTAATATAGTAATAATCATAGTAAAAGTAAAAGTATTTTTTATTATATATAGCATTTAATATGACCGATATGACTATGACCAAAAGTCATATGATTATATGATCAAGGTCATATAGAAAAAAATGCTATGACATAGGTCATCGGCCAACACTAGTGAACATAGTGCGCCATAATACCCCAAAATGTAAAAAAACAGCATTTTTTGAATAGATTTTAAAAGTTCATATTTCAATCTTTATTTTAATGTCGATTTTTTTTTTTTTTTGGCAGATGGTTAATTCGATGAGTAACCTATTTCAAAAATTTTGTAAATAAATACGCCACTTCTAAAAAGTTTTATATAAGCAACACTTAAATGCGCCATGATACCTGATTCTCCCTTATGTACCGTATTTTTTTTATTTTTATTTTTTTTGGCGGTTATGCAGAGGAAATTTTCCTATTTTATTTATAAAGAATAACGCACAATATGGTGAAGCAAAAAATGCATAACATTTTTAAACAATTAATGGTACTTTAACAGTTTAACAGTAATGGTAAAATTGGTTTGCTGAGTAAAGAATGACAAATATCGGAATAATTGGAATAATCTAGGAATAATTGGAATAAATAATTGAAATAATCTAGGAATAATTGGAATAATTAAATAATTGAAATAATTGGAATAATTGGAATAATTGGAATAATTGGAATAATTGGAATAATTGGAATAATTGGAATAATTGGAATAATTGGAATTATCCGGCAGGTACAATGTAAACACTGACGGAAAAAATTTCACATTATTTCCGCAAATTTCTATTAATTTAAATTTACGAAAGTAATATACGTCATACCTGCCAGATAATAAATAATTGGAGCTAGGGTTGTAAAATTACGTAATTCTATGCAAATTCTAATTTCATGTAACCTTGTGACGGATTAAAATGAAATGAAATATTGTACAATGTAAAAAATAGACAAGCCACCAAAAAAATAAAAATTTTTGAGGTGCAGTTAGAGGTTAGGGTTATAATAAACAAGTATAAATGGGTTTTAGAGGGTTAAATAGAACCTTCATTTCATTTTAATCCGTGATCCGCGACAGTATTTCATTAGTATATGGACGAAGTTTTTTGATTTACTGATTATATAATACTTTGACGTGGTAAATGAATAAGTCCATACAATAAGTTCTTATATAGAGAATTTGCTTAGAATGCGCTTATATTGAGAATTATTTTTATACAGTATATTTAATAATTATATAATATATAATATGCTTATTTATATTAAACAATTATATACTACTGTACTATGGAAATTGATCTTCGGATCAACGTTCTAAACTAATCAGGTATTCGAGTACGTATTCGGGTATTTGCAAAATAAATTTTTTTTTTTTGAAAATATTGCTATTTTCAAACATTTCGAAAACAGCGATAATGATCAAGGTATTAAAAATTTTCAACCAATGTAATTAAAATTTCCCCAGTTTATTAAAATTTAATTCTTGATTTATGTATTTCTATTTATTAAGAATGCACTCAATTTATATTATATATATACATTATTTATTTACGATGGCTTATTATGTATGTTTGAAATATTAAGACAAATGCTAGTTAATCTATGATATCTATATCTATGATAATAATGCAATCTATAATTAATGATTCTAAATGGTTTTATAGTTGTGCTTACTCTTTTTATAATAATTAGCTCCTTAATTACCCAATGCTTTTGATGAAAATCGAATAATAATATTACGAAATAGATTTATTCAAATGTTTCTCATTTGAACGAGAGTATCCGCACCGCGCGGATAATATTATAAAAATTAAACTAGGCTTCCGCCGCCTAGTTTATTTAAAAATTGTGTTTGTGTTCGTGATTTAGTTTATCCGTTTAAAGATTTTGCCTATGTTTGTGATTTAAAACTTTTGTGTTTGTAATTTGGTCTTATCGTTTAAAAAAATTCTGTTTATGTTTGCGATTTAGTTTTATCCATTAAAAATTTAGATTGTTCGTGTTCATGATTTAGTTTTATCCGTTTAAAAAATTGTGTTTGTGATTTAGTCTTATCCGTTTAAAAGGGTTTGTTTGTGTTGTTATTTCCGTTTTTATAATAACTTCATAGTTCGTTCAATCTTCAAATTCATTAAAATGCCCACCATGCAACAAAAAATAAGAATATGCTGTATATTCCATAGGAGGGAGTGTGGGAGGTATAGGTGGTGTAGGTGGTGTAGTTGCCATTCGTGGCGTGGGCCTGCCACGTCTACGTCGTGGTCTTCTGACAGTTCGTGGAGGTGACAGAAGGATACTGCCATTATGACTATTGCGTGGAGTGAGCCTGCCACGTCTGCGTCGTGATCCTCCAACAGTTCGTGGAAGAGGCAGAAGGATACTGCTATTATGATTATTGAACCTTCGCCTCGTAGAAATAGACATTTATGAAATATTGAAGATTTTTCACAGTAGAAATATTTTACAAGATCGTTATTTTTAATTTCAACCTTAGGAATTTTCAAACTTAGAAAAAAAATTCAGGTTTAAAAAATTGGTAAGCAGGATAAAAATCTACGTTATACTTTATATATCTTCCTAATCCTCATAAAATCTTACAAAAAAAAAAAAAAAAAAACATAAAAAAAAACATAAAAAGGTAGGTATCGAAATGATTATTTTAATTTCAAGTTTCGACTTGCGAATACTGTAAAAATGGCCCATTTTATAAATTTTCGGAATATCTTATAATTCCGTCGTGCTTGCTATTTTCCCTATAGAATTCCGGTCGCTCTTGTTATTTTTCCCGTAGAATTCTTTGTACTAAATGAGTTTTCTAGTTTTACTATTTTGTAAAAATTAATCCGATTTTTCCGCGGTTATTTTTATCGTGCTCGATCTATTTGGGCGGATTTTGGAAATTTGGAGATATTTTCGAATAAAATTTGTACCAATCAGATTATTAAAATTTGTGATAATTTCGAATTTGTCTTATGAAATGTGTTGTCTTGTAAACGTTAAATTGATCTGACTCTGATTATATAATTTTATTGGTCAATCTATTTTTAATATCACGAAAATCACATTCAAATTCAGGTGACATAGTTGAATTTCCAAAATCCGCCCATGTGGCTAATTTTTAATTTTGGTACGACACGCCCCTTTTTCTTAACAAAGAACGTAGTTTCATTAAATGTTTCATAATCTCATCTTAGTATGAGTTTCCTTTAATAAAAATACGTAACAGTAATAGTAAAATAAATAACGATTCCGAAAGTGTAAGTGGCGGCTAGGGTTTTTAAGATTTTTTATACCGTGTTATATACAGTATTATACAATTTATTATCGTTATACAATTGGTATAATACCAGTATTATATACAGAAGGTATAGGTATAATACCACAATTAAAAACAATTTAGCCAATTAAATCGTTTTATTTGATTTCCTAAACCGGTATAATAAAAACCCTAGTGGTGGCAGAAAAAATTTCCGAACTCTTAATGCAGCCCGAAAAAATTTTCAAATACCGAATATCATATCTGATATTCGGTAAGTTTTCGGGCTCCATCGAAGGGGTTCGGAAGCATCGGCGATCACCTGATCGCGAATTTTCTGCCACCTCAAAGAATGGGCCAAGTCATCGCCACAGAATATAGAAGGATCATGTGAATTATATGCTGGATTACTCAACCTTGTTCGTATGATTGTACCTATGCTGCGGCGATGGAGTGAAAAAAAACTCATTTGTATGATTTAAGGGAAGCCATAACGATAACCATAATTTAGTTCTATCATATTTTTATTATACTGTATATTATATATTTTATTTTTATTATTAAATTACTCTATATTTAACCTATAATAATAACATAATTCTAATTTTTATTCATAAACTTTTATAAATTATTATTTCCTTAATTGCGTAAAATATATTTATTCGGAGATTTTTATTATTTAGATGTTTGTCATAATTCAGACGTCATTATTCAGATGTTTTTGTTGTTATTCAGATGTTTGCCATTTAAATAGAGTCCTGCTCCGTTAAAATAATACAGATTAAGCTTCCGCCGCTTGAATCCGTAAAGTTCCAGTTTTGCCATTTACGATGTTTGTGTTTTTTGTCAAGTCTATTCGATTATTTGCAAAGAAAAGAAAGCTATAGAAAGCTTGCGCGACCATTAAATAAATGATCAGAAAATTCGGTATGCTCCATCGGAGGGAGCATAATCGGTGTGAAGGGCCTTGGCGGAGGTTGCGTAGATCTTACATGTCTATGCTGTAAGACACGGCCACCATGATGGATCCTGCGGAGTTGTTTAGGCATATCAAGTTTTTAGAGATTTAAAACTTGTGAACTATCGTTGAATGATAAAGTTTTTAATAAATTAATACGTGTTAATCATGTAACCGTGATCGTTCGTGACAATAACCTCCTCTTAGCCAATTCACCGTGGAAAAGAAAGGCACTGACTGACTGAGAGAAGGATAAAAAAGCAGATATATATATATATGTTCGGAATATCTTTTGAAACCTAATAATTCCGCACCATTGCAATTTTTCCCATTTTTTCCTTATGTACCTAAATTATGACCTAGTTTTACAGTTTTGTGAAGCATGAATATTCCGATTTTTCCGCTCAGTTATTTATCGTAATTTTGAAACTCGCAACGTGTTCGTTCCTTTGCCCGGAATAATTTATAAATAGTAAATACGTAACGATAACTATAACAGATAACGACATCGATTTGTCATATCACGCATTTTTGTCACAATTGTGGCTAAAATTTTAATTTACCGGTAATTGTGATACACAGGCCCATTTCGTCATAAAGAGCGCCTCTTTCGGGTCATAAAAGAAATTATAATCTCTTGGTATATTCCTTTCATAAAAATTATAATAATATAAAATGAACAACGACCCGGAAGCTCACTCCGAAGAGTATCAATCGAATACTTTATACGTTGAAGAAAAGGAAGGGCTACTAACTGGGAAGGTCTCTGAAGAGCCGAAAGATGAAAATCAAGTTGAGGTTCGATCTAGCCTGTAAAATAAAATGTAGAGATTGTACCCGGGTAGAGATTTTCTTGATGGGTACAATCTCTAAGAAAATGTTTCTTAAATTTATTATTAAAACATTGGTTTTTTTTTATTTAAAACTATAATAGGCTCGTTATATATTATTTGTTCGGGTTTTTATGATAGTTATTCTGATCATAATACTTATGGGCACGATTCTTGTAGTAATATACTTCCCTAGAAGTCATAAACTGATAACTCCGAGTTTTTTTAATGGAACCCATGATTTTTATCCAACTGTACTTCTGGTATCATTCGATGGATTTAGAGCTGATTACTTGGATAGGAATCTTACTCCTACGTTGGATGAACTTAGTAAGTCTAAATCTATTGATGGTTTTAATTTTATCAAATTTATTTATTTATTTCGAATTTTTATTACAGTTCAAAATGGTATTAAAGCTGAATACTTGATGCCATCATTTCCGGTATGCAAACTTTTTATTTTGTTTCTAATTAAAAATTCTTCAATTTCTAATTTTATTTCATCTTTCTTATAACAGTCTGTGACATTTCCTAATCATTATACAATTGTCACTGGTCTTTATCCTGAGTCTCACGGAATTGTTGGAAATGAATTTTATGATCCTGATCTTAATGATGATTTTTATTATACTAATCCTAATAAAAGCTGGGATTCAAAATGGTGGGGCGGTGAACCGGTTAGTCTCTTATTGATTGTTATTATTTTTACTTTTAATATTACTAATTAATTTTTATAGATTTGGGTAACTGCTGTTAAACAAGGCCAAAAATCCGGTGTATCACAATGGGTTGGAACTTCATCTGTTATTCAAGGATATACTCCAACTTATCATTATTCATATACTCCTAATGTTACTATTGAAAAAAAGGTCAGGCAAATAATGGATTGGTTAGATCTTCCGTTAGATAAAAGACCAACATTCCTTGCTACTTATGCAAGTCAAGTTGATAGTGCTGGTCACAAATTTGGTCCTGATTCTGTGGGTGTAAATGATTCTCTTAAATATGTTGACAATTTTGCATTTGGTCTATGGCAAGGTTTAGTTCAAAGAAATTTATCTGATATTGTCAATTTTATAATAGTTAGTATCTTAAAATTCAACTTGTTTATCTTTATTGTATTAGATTATTTATTAACTTTCATTTTAATTTAGGTTAGTGATCATGGAATGGTTCAAACTATTTCGAGTAATCAAATTTTTTTAGACAATGTTTTCAACGTTTCAAAAGTTCATCCATTAGAAGGTCATCCATTAGCTGGAATTCGTCCTTATAATGATTCTGATATCAATGAAATATATTTATCATTGAAAGAAGCGGGTCAAAATCAGCCTTGGCAATGTTATCTTCGTGAGGAAATTCCTGACCGTTTTCATTTTCGTGCTTCGCGCCGTATAGCACCCATTTATTGCATTCCTCCTCTAGGTTGGATTCTTTCGACACATCGCGATTTTGGTAATTCAACACCAAAAGGTGCTCACGGTTATGATAACCTTGAACCTGAAATGAGAGGAATATTCCTAGCCTCAGGTCCTGTATTCAAAGAAATAGCAGTGAAAAAAAAGACAAATGTAGTAAAAGGTTTTATTAATACCGAAGTTTATAATATAATAGCTAAAATTTTAGGTTTGACTCCTGCTCCAAACAATGGCACTGTCGGTGGAATTCTTTGAAATGATTGATATAAATTAAACAGATAGGTTTTTTCTTTTAAACAATGTAAAACAAACAGCATATTCACAAATCATTGTAAATAGAAATTGCATATTTGAAGATTAAATTTCAATAAAAAATTTTTAATAAATCGAAATAGATCTGCTAAGTTAATACGAACCTAGCCATACAACGCCATGTTCACTAATTCGGGGGCGCAGCACAAATATGCCCTGTCGAAATTTTCGTGACTGATCACATGGTGCTCGATAGTTTGATTATACAATTTCTATCTTAATATTTTTTACTAATATTCTACTTGAAATTTAACATTTAATTAATTGACATTACATTAAACGCTTCTACAATGCATATACAGTCAAACCTCTTTATAGTCACCTCCTATATAAGCACATTTTCTTTATAAACTTATTTTTTTAAAAACAGTCTATTATTATTTATAATGAATTTGACCTCTATAATTGTCACAATTCTTTACAATCACACTATTTTGTATCCCAAGTGTGTGATTATAGAGAGGTTTGACTGTATTTTTAAAAATTATACGTAACGTACGTACTGTACGTATGTTAATAGTAAAGTGGTCTAAATTTAAATAAAGTAGCCTAAATTTAAATAAAATAGTCTAAATTTAAATAAAGTAGTCTAAATTTAAATAAAGTTAAATAAAGCAGTTTAAATTTATAACAATTTTAAGTAGACACTATAAATAACTTTACTTAAAATGTTATGAATGCGCTCATGCCATATCAGCTTTAACGCATATCTATTTTTAGGTTAACTAACCTGTTATGTAAATACCGTAGCCTACAAAAGGTAGTTTTTAGTTGTTCGAGCTTTCATTACATGAGTACGAACATATTTTACTTTTTGGCACGCGACAATGTTGTGTAATACGTAATTAATTGTAAAGCTTTCAAAGGTTAATCCGAATACCTGTTCAAAATCCATATTTTGTGTAATTGTGTAAAACTATTAGATTAGAGATGGCAAGGTAATAAGTAAGTAATAAATATTTTTTTTTACCCTTACGTATTCTTATGTATCAGTACTTATTATGGTTCACAATACAACTTGAATGATATAATTTAAAATCCGATCAGGCTTATTTTGCAAATATATACTACATTTTTTTTTACTTAATGATAAGTATTGACAATCGCAGATCAACTACTCACGCTATATGATTCAAAATGCCTAATTTATTCCTAGCCGATTTTAGATTGATAGACCAATTTAACATCCCTGGTTAATTACAAAAAACTAAACAACTACAGTTAAATATAGTTGTATAGTGAAAATTATACGGATTACAAATTACTGCGTAAATTACACAAACTGTGTACATCCCTCTAAATTAGGATGTGTAATTAATTAGGTGCAATTGTTACATTATTAATATTATGAAAATCACATCGGATGCAGGGCTTCAGGCACTATAGTAATTTGCCGGCCATTCAATAATTATCATTCTTGATCTATATTATAATACTATTTAATTTTGATTAATCAAAAATGACACTTCAAACAATTATCTTTGGCGCAGTAAATGGCCGGCATATTGATGTAGTGTCTGAAGCCCTGATCGGATGTCAACATTTTACATAAGTTATAATATGTGATGACTAAGCACCATGCAGAATGATGCCCATCACTAGGTGTAATATACTTATTGATCTCTTTCTTATTATTCTCGTTTTGGAAACAATGAATACAGTAAAATAAAATTTAAATAACGTCAATGTTTCATTTTTACTTGTATTAAAAAATGTCTGTTCGTGATAATGATATCGAAGCATCGACCAAAATATCTGATAATTCTTTTAATAAAAAGAGAAAAGTTAATGATACTCGAGAAGATGTGAATCTCAGAAGTTGGATCTGGCAGTACTTTGATCATGTGTTTATTAATAATGTAAGACATGCGATTTGTAAGGTTGAGAAGGTAAAAGGAGAAAAGTGCGGTACAAAGTACAAAGTTAACACGTCAACAAGCAACTGCTCTGTTCATCTTTTAAGCGCTCATGGGATCATCGAAGATCAGGCTAAAAATAAAAAAATAGAATCAGCTAGTGAATCGCGTCAACTTCAATTGTGTCAACATCTTGCAGACTGGATTATAACTGATTCACAACCATTTACTGTTCTTGTAAACCCAGCTTTTAAAAAATTTATAAATGAATTAGATCCAAATTTAAAATTCCATGTATCAAATCCGTAAAGAAACTTGTACATATTGCTTATAACCATTCTTTAAAATTAATCAGGGAAAAAATAAAAAATGACTCGATTTTCGTATCTTTAACTTGCGATCTTTGGACCGGGAAAAATAGACAGGGTTTTTTAGGCATTACATGTTCTTATCTTAATCATGAATTTCAATTTCATGAGATCACACTTTCGATTGAACACATCCGTCATCCACACACTGCTGAGAACATTAGTGATTCTATTCTTTCGTTGTTGGATGAATTAGAATTACGTGACAAAGTTTTCACAATAACCACTGATTACTGAAAGAATATGCAAAAAGCTATTAAAGAAATGATGTATGTTGCTGAAAACATAACCTGGCAACCATGCGCAGCACACACCCTGCAGTTGGTAGTCGGGAAAGGACTGGAGCCGGTTAAGATTCTGGTTGGCCGTGTTAAACGTTTGATAGATTTCTTTTTAAGACCAAAACAATCTGAGCGTTTGGAAGACATACAAAAAAATAGATATGCAAGATCGAATGAGGTTTATAAGTTTTTTTTTTTTTTCACGTTTATTTCTATTGTTTATTTATATGGATTGCTAAATATTTTATTTTAGGAACAATCTATTGTATGTTTATTTTGATTTTTATATGTCTGATATAAATTACTAACTGGTATCATTTTAGAATGCTAGGAAGACTTCAACATATTTGAGACATGTAATTGCAGACGTGCCAACCCGCTGGAATTCCAGCTATCTGGCGTGGTGTCGTATCCTTGAATTTGAGGAGTATATTCGTGCATTAGAAGCTGAATTAGCTGAAGATACTAATCCTGATTCTAAAAAGGATTTTCAATATCTGACTAAAATAATGATAACAAATAATGAATGGAACTTGCTTCGTGATTTAATTCCAATATTAGGTCCTTTCGAAGAAGCGACTAGATACCTTGGTGGTAGTAGATACGTTACTTATAGTACAATGAATCCTATAATGGTGCATATCATTAACATGCTCAAACCCGTATCGATATCAACTGAGGAAATAAATGTCGATAGAATTAATGATATTTTTGCAGAGCTCGAAATTTGTGAGAACGAGAATGATTCACATAAAAAAATAGATTTAGATAAGCCCATGCAAACACTTGGGGTTTTAGAAAAGGTCAAAGAAACTTTATACCGTGCGATGCACTATTATTGGAAAAAGGATAATATTGAATCGTATATACCTTCCATTCTCGACCCACGTGTTAAAAATTTTGATTTTGAGCCTGAAAAGATTAAACAGGTTCAGGATTTGTTAAGAATCAAATATCATGAAGCACGTAATAGTTTAACAACTTCAACAACTACAACTAACACTCCATCATCCGCTTTCTATTTTAATAACACTACTATTTCTCATTTTTATAAGCCAACACTTTTAAATATATTTAACAATTCATCACCTCTTAATTTGCAGAATGAGCTGGATGAGTACCTTGCAGTTCCACAAATACCATTTGATTCTGACCCTTTCGCGTGGTGGAACCTCAATAGGGAAAGGTTTCCTGTTATCAGCAAATTAGCACGTATGTACCTTTCGGTTTCTGCCACGTCCACACCGTCTGAAAGGTTATTCTCTGACTGTGGTAACCTGTTGAGTCCTAAAAGAACACGTATGAGCCCTGAATTTTTCAAACGATTAATGTTCTTGAAACGTAATTACTATATTTTAGATAGTATCCATCCACCCTTTAACTTAGTATGAAAAATACAAATATTTAAAATATGCTTAAATATTTATTTTTTTAACAATAGAAATTTTTATGATACAAATATATTTTATTATTAATAAATATATATTATAAGTATATAATATATTTGATTAAAAATAATCTAAAACGCCAAACGTGTTATATTTAAAAGTTTGAACTTTTTATTTCTCAAACATACATATTTATTTTATTTCAAACACTTTGAGCATCAGGCCGTTTTTGAGAATCAGGGTCCATTAATTGCATGGCCAGTTCAAAGTAATATTCGGGAGTTCCAGGTACAAATTCTGGACAGTCCTTTACAAATCTTTATTGCAAGTTTTGTATCGAATTTTATTATGACCACTAAAAGATGGTTGTTCTGTTAACATCTCAGCCATGATGATCTCAAACCCATAAACATCAGCCGCCTGTGTAAATAGCTGCTTGCCTAAGTAAGACTTTATAAATTTTGTCATCTAAAACATTCTTATTTTTCTTTCTAGATCCGTGATACATTATTTATTTTTTTTTTTATTAATTAGTTGATTTTGCAAAATGTTACTAGTGCAAAAGTCTATATGAATTAGGGGTCTGCAAGTGGGACATGCCAGGCATATTGGCACCAGGCCAGACTCATAAGGCACAAAAGTGCCAGGCATTATTATGGGTATGGGTACAAATGCCAGGCATTTTTATGTGAATGGGCACAAATGCCAAGTACTTTATAGGCACGGCACAATATGCTAGGCAAAAAGGTGCCAGGCACAATTAATTAATAAATATCAAATTTTTGTGCCCATTCCCATGCCCATGCCAAGTTTTTGTACCCGTGCCTATGCCCATGCCAAA